GGTCAGGGCCTGTCTGTATGCGGTTGGGTAAAGCGGTTGTTTAATGAACCTCTGCAATTCATCCGTCAGTTCATAGAGATGCCTCCGGACGTGCCTTTGCGAGGGCTCTTCTGCATGCAGCTGTCTATTTGGGTGACCACGTCTGTGGCTCCCTACAAGAAACTGTTTGAAGAGCATTGTGTAATGCTCCTTGATTGGGAGCAACTGGGGCTCGTCGTGGAAGTGGTGTTGGGGCGACATCAGAAGGCATCCCGTCGATGTCCGAAGTGCCGTATTCTGGCAGGTCTGTAGCTTCATACAATGCGTCTTACGGGTCCCCGGCGACCACACGGGCGCTGCATAGTTTAGAACCAGCCGGCCAATTGCCTTGTATGTTGCCAACAACGTTTCTTTGTCGTTGCCCCAAGTGCTGCCGGTCAGCGACTTGAGGACATTGTTGCGGCGCTGTACTCTGTTGACAATTGCGGTTGTGTCCGCCGAGAACGAGAGCAGACTGTCGAAGATGACTCCGAAGATTTAGGGTTATTCACCGTCGGTATTGTTTCGCCATCAACGTGAATACCCAGTTGCAGTCTGACCTCCAACGTTCAGGTGGTGAATAAAGTTGCCGAGGATTTCGTACGGGAGAGGGTAAGGGTCCTTGCAGTGAAGAAGCGAGAAAACTCGGCGATATAACCGTTTACTTTCAAGCACAAGCCATTAATTCCATTCCCAGGCGCCATAATCGAGCAATCGTCAGCATAAGAGACAATAGTGACTCCCTCTGGTGGTTGAGGGAAGTTTGAAATTTGTAACTGACGTCTGCAGTGTCTGTTCACCAGTAGGTGCGGCAGCAAGCGGCGTCTGTCTTGGAGCAAGCGGCGTCTGTTTTGGAGCAAGCGGCTCGATATATAAACGTGTATTCGGTTGCGAAACCACCCCCGTCCCAGCAATGGGATCAAATCGTAGCAAAAGATAGAAATTAGTTGTTATATTAAGGTCATATGCATATTTACTGTTTTTTAAAACATCACAATAGCAATTGTTTCTTTTACAGTGGCGTTTTCCAAATGCGGAACTTATAGAACTAAACACTTTCTGCCACTTACGCTTTCGCCATAAATAGGTGAAACTTTACTTAATTTGAGAATATCGATAATTCTACTTCTACCTAATATTGCCTCTATTGAGCCGCTTTTTATCTGTGGCAAGGAATCCATCGAGGAAGTAGTTCCTCTTTCCGCAACTTCGTATCCCTCTCGCACATTGAATATTTCTGTCTGTTATGCGAAAATTGTTCGGTGGTGCATATTTACATATGTTTCAGATGTTTTTGGCCAGACGATTCCTATACGGTTGACAAACGGGCTCGATTATTAGCATAAACCGCCTTTATTTGCTTTGCCTCATGCATTTTCCTTTTTAAAATGCGCATAAGCACCCGAACAAATGCACGAAATTTTTGGGAATTTACTCGGATCTGGGGAATTTTCGATGACAACACTGGTAAAAACGGCCAGCTGCTGTGTTTCGTGTCCGCGGTAGCCGAGTGGTAAGAGCTGCGGGCTACAAGCCTGTAGCTGCCAGGTTCGATCCTCGGTTGGAGCGATTGCGAAAAAAAATAGTTTTTATTATTTATTTTATATTTTTTTTTTATTTTACACATTTGATTTATATATATCATTTTACGTTATTTTACTTTCGTTTGCTCTATTTGATATCATTTTATTTTATTTTTATTTTACTATTAGTTAATTTAAATTTTTAGAACTGAATTTTATTAAAAAGTCAACAACAACTAACTGAAAGCAACGTAAAAATATATAGAACTTATAAAAAAAGAATGAAAACGAAATAAATGAAAATTCTACTGGCCGCGGGACTCGAACTCACGACCTTGCGGCTCGTTTACCCGCATTACCGCCGTCTGTAAGGGTAAAATTATTATGCGCATATGTGTACCAGATTAAATGCATAAGCTTTGCCGTCTGTCACAGCTTTATACGGGTGACAAAAGGGCTCGCATATTTGGATAAACAGCCCTTAGTTCCATTAACTCATGCATTTTCCTTTTTCAAATGCGCATAATTAGCCGAATAAATGCACGAAATTTTTGGGAATTAACTCGGATCAGGGGAACTTTCGATGACAACACTGGTGAAAACGGCCAGCTGCACAGTGGTTCGGATAGCAGATCTAGCTGGACGAAAGTCAAAATATTTTTGTTTTTAAAATAGTTAATGGTACTTGGAATACATTCCTGACAATACATTCAAATAGAAATTGCATTTATTAAAGCATTAAACATATGGAAAGATAAAAAAGTAAGTCAACGCCGTCTATTTGAGAACTCTATTTTAAAAACTGAAATTTAACTTAAAAGATTGCTAATTACACTCACAAATATTTGAATAATTGCAAATTGGCTTTATAAACCAACAATTACACTTATTCCGCTATAGATTCAGAGGTCATAACGCAATTTGTGGACTCGGTGTTAAAACAGTATACTCGGTATTAAAACAGAAAACTACGTGGAGTTGTCAACACTTTGGTTATGTACGAGTAAAAAAAACAAATCTTAAATCGCGAATATTCTGCTTCCTGATATTAAAAAATTATACAACAGGCATGCAAATCTTTAATTTTTTTCTGAAATTTATTTGTGTTTCTTGGTGAGTTCTTAAATTTTAGTTTTTAACAAAAACCATATCAATCCAAGTTTCAAACTTTGTGCAATATTTGAAAAAAAAAAACAAACTTTCGCAAAAATTTCGATGCTTTTAATTAGGTTTCTTAGAAAGATATTCAGTATGCAGTTTTGTAGCCCATTCAATTTTAGTAAAACCAAAGAACGTAGATAACAAGAAGGGACAACTCGTTATGTTATAATTGTGGCGAAAGTGCGCAACAGGGGCGTGCCTTCTCTTTTCATCCAATCAAAAAACGCACTAGGGCAAAAGAGAAGGCACGCCCCTGTTGCGCACTTTCGCTACAATTATAACGAGTTGTCCCTTCTTGTTATCAACGTTCTTTGGTAAAACAAAGTGCAAGTTTGAAGTACCTAGGGCTTTTCATTGATTTTTGGCAATTTTTTTCTGTTGACGATGTCAGTCATTTTCTTCCATACGAAGTATGTTCGATGATTTTTTTTTATATGGAGAATATGAGTAACACCTTCAACAACAAAAAAAAGTTTTAAACCTGGATTTACAAAATTTCTTTAATAACGAACAAACTACATTTTTATGAAAAAAGTAATTAAGATTAAATAATAATAAAATAAATAGTCAAAACTAGTCAATATGTGGGTGTCGCATAGTTATGATACGGACTATTTTTATTAGAGAATTAACTGTTCTATTAAATTATTTTAAAATGTACTAAGTCATTGTTATTGTGAACTGAAAATAAAAATCAAAATATAAAGCGAAATATTTTTATTAAACTTTAACAAATTTGTAATCGTTTTAATTATAATCTCTGAACAAAACATTTTCCATGTTGGATCCGCCATTTTGAATTTTTGGTAAATGACTTTAGATACGTAATCAGCGACCCAGAAAACCTCCAGATACCCAGTTTCATAAAAATGTATTTTTTTTTTAAATTTCCGTTCGCCATTTTGAATTTTTGACAAGTGACTTTAGGTTCGTAATCCGCGACCCAGAAATCCCACCGATGCCCAGTTTCAGGAAATCTATTGATTCTTTAAATTTTTCGCCTGCCATATTGGATCCGACATTTTGAATTTTTGGTAAATGACTTTAGATTCGTAATCAGCGACCCAGAAAACCCCCAGATATCCAGTTTCATAGAAATTACCGATTTTGTATTAATTTTCGTCCGCCATATTGGATCCGCCATTTTCAATTTTTGATAAGGGAATTCAGATTCGTTATCAGCGACCAAAAAATCCCCTAGATAAGGAGTGGTGTAAAAATCCATCAAAGAGTATTTGTTTAACTAGTTTCGTCCAGCTAGATTTGCGACCCGAACCACTGTGAGCTGTTGGCTTTTGTACAAGTAAGCAAACAAGGAAGCGAGTTTGGCGTCCGCGGTCATTGTGCATACATTCAAGTGACAAGTGTTATTATTCTGCCTGGAAACCGCCTAGAAAATATTTACATAGAAATGTAAAACGTAGAAATAACCTGTCAAACTGTTATACAGGGTGTTTAAAGGCATGTAGAAAAAGACTAAAGTTATTAAAATAACCTTAATAATTGGCAAAATATGCTATGTTTATATAGCAGCTTAATATTTTAAAGCATTTTGGTCAATGACTCCTAAACTTAATATAACTTTTCTTGCTGGTTTTGTCAGAGTCCGTTTAAAGGTTTTTTTTTAGGTAGAATACGTCTTACGTTCGATATAGAGGCTAAACTCAAATGTTGTAGTTGTAATTTTTAGAGCTTCACGAAAACGCTCATTACACGAGAACTGATGAAGCGATTTAAAAAAAAAGTGTGGTGTTTCAAAGATAAAATGCCAAGCCTTTCGACAGATTCATTCTTGTAAGTGACCAATTCGGTTTCTGTCTTAGAAACAACGGTAAATATTGGCTTATTTTGGGGTCAATTTTGAGCCTTTAAAGTGCTCTAGCAACTTGTGATTTGCAGATATAACTTTCATTTTCGGTATATAGGTTCCTTGGAGCAATTGAAATATTATCGTGTACAAAGTGTATATGAATTCAACAAATATTAAGCTGTATAAGGCAAAAAATATTTGAAAAAACTAGCTAATGTTTTTTAATACCAAATGCTCGAAAACCGCTCGAATGATTTTGTTTTCTTTAATCAAAAACTCAACGTTTTTCCTTTCCTTTGGTATATGGGATGTATTGGTTGATATCTTCTAAGTATGTTTATTTTATTCAAATGTATGGGCATAAAAAATTTTCCATACAAACATTTCGATTTCGTACATTTTGTTTACGTTAATTAAAATCTAGACTTCTTTTGCAAATTCAATAAGCCATAAATAAATTGTGGCCCATTTTTTAATTTTGGCCTGGGAGAAATAATAGAAACAAGGTATTACTTCTAAATAAATTAAACTTTGACCCAACAATTTTTACAAAAATATTATTGTTTCAATAGTTTATTGAACCGCCGCCTTGTCTGATTACCTTTTCGCATATTCGGTGCATCGAATTAGCCAAGTTTGCACAAACACTTTCGGAATGGAATACCACTGTTTTAGAATGTGGCGCCTCAATTCGTCTTTTTTGCTGGCTTTAAAAGGCTCGATAAGTCTGCCCAAAGGTGTTCAATGGGGTTGAGGTCTGGCGATTGAGACGACCACTACTTTACCAGTTTCGATGCATGCTTAGGATCATTATCCTGCAGTAACTTCCACCGCAATGGTTTTCCTCTTTAGCATAGGGAAACCTTTTCGTCTGTAATATGTTTACATAGTCAACCGCGTATATTTTGCTCTTTATTAAAAATATTGGACCAACGCCTTCCTCCGGGAAGCAGCCCCATACCATAATGGAACCCCCGCTGTGCTTAACCGTTTTTTTCGTGTATTGTGGATCAAAGGACGTTTTACGTAATGTTTTCCATCCGAACATATTAATTTTTTTATTAAGGCTATAGCACATTTTTCCAATTTTGTCGGAAAATTTGTTTTCTAGCAAAAGCAAGTCTGCTGATTTTGTTTTTAAGGCTCAGCAACGGTATCTTTCTAAGGATTCTGGCTGGAAGTTTGCCTTCTTCCAATCTGTACCTAATGGTTCGGCTTGTTACATCTAAATTAAATTCTGTTTTCAGCTATCTTGAGGACAGAAAAGGGTTAGCTTTGCAATGCCGAACTAAACGCCTTTGATCGCCAGCAGTAATTTTTCGTTTTCTGCGTCATGTTTCTGGTTATTTTACGCTATGAATGACAGTGAACACCTTCTTTTTGGAACAGTCCACCATATCTGCTATCCGAATTTCCTTGTGTTCTTCAACTTATTAACCGACTTCAAAAAAGGAGGAGATTATCAATTCGTCGGAATATTATTTTAATTTTTTTTTTATGTATGTTACCGCATAACTTTGGACCACGTCAACCGATTTCGAAAATTCTTTTGCATCGGAAAGGTGGTGTCTCAGAGGTCGCCCCATACAAATCTGGTTTGGATCCGATAACGGTACTCCTAAATTTTTATAAGAGATATGAAGTCGGTTTTATTTTGCTTAAAAATTACTCGTTATTAATTCTTCTCCTATTCCGTGCAGTGTTTAGCTCGGTCCATTTTATTATTTTTTATGTTTCAATAACCTATAGTATAGCTTTTATTTAGTTAACATTTTTTGAAAACGCAATTAGAAATGTCAAAAATAAATAATTTACCTTTTAAAAGCAACAATATCAACAAACACGTTTTGTTTCTATTATTTTTTCCAAGCGCAACTATTCAATTGTTCACTCTCTCGCACATAAAGTGAAAATGAGACAAACTAGCAGAATAAAATGTTTTGCAAAAGAACAACCACTAAAGGTCTGATTATGCATACTTCGCATAACTTCGCACAACCATTTGTACCAGGCAATAGAAATTTAACTTAAAAAAATGTGAAGAAAAAATCTAAACTCAACAGATCGCTAAGTTTTTAAAGGTTCTGCTAATTTCTGGGTAATGGAATACATACAAAATACATACAAAGTACATACGAAATTACAGTTTGAAGTTTATGCGAAGTTGTGCGAAGTATGCATAATCAGACCATAACTCATGAACCAACGACTACAGATCACGCAATCCGCCCTCGTTGTATTTGTAATCGAATTTCAGAAAAAAAGTTTTCGTAGCGTTTTTGATGTTTTTCCCTTTTGTTTACATCGCTTCGAGGTGGCTTTTTTAGCAATTTGATGTGTTTTATGTGCGATTTTAATTTTAGTTTTGATTTATCAGAAATTTGTGATGTAAAATGAAGTGCTTTGTGATTGTAACAAGTTTGTGCGTTTGTTTGGTCTGGCAAAAGGCCTAAATTTACGTGGCCGCACATTTGTGGCCAGAACGTTGGCAATGAAAAATCGACCCGTGCCGATAATATGCGATTGTAAAGCACTCTCAATCATGAAAACCATATTTTATGAACTTTTTTTTGCTGATTGTCATTAAGTTTCACTTTGTATATTTTATAAGAAATACCAATTTAATCGCACTCAATCCCCGCGCCTTTTTCGTTTTCTTTATTTGTTTTCATTCTTAGGCAGATGTCAAAAACGCTCAGAAATTTACTTTTTTCATTCTTTTCCGATTGCGTGATCTTGTTAGTTGGTTCATGCCACTAACTGGTATTTGTACAGGGTGCACCATTCCAGGAAATATATTTAACTAGTGTTGATATAATAGATTTAATATTTCCCAATAAGTTGTTTCTATTATTTTTTCCAACACTGTATGTACATATGAATGCATAATACGCGAAACTTTTTTCGTCATATCAGATCTGTACTGTTCGTACGATTTTACAAAATGAGGTATCAAATTAAAGGGCTTGGCCTGTGGATGTGCAATAACTTCTTATTTTTTTAAAAAAGAGTTGCCACCTGATAAAAACTTAAGCTAAAATTATTTTTAAGTTGAATAAATCGATCGAAATGGTTTTGAAAAGGCTTTATTTAATTATATGTAGAAGGGCTGCTACGTGTTTCAAAGAGCAAGTTCAACTTAAATAAAGGCAGACAAATTGAAATGTACATCCTGATATGGATGTCCGACGAAATAGGTTGTGGTTTAAAAATATTTTGCAGAGGGTTGCCACCTTGTTACAAAGTTAGATAAAATATAAGCAATAGGTTAAATAAATTTCTTCAATATGAATACAAATCAAAATTGCTTTGAAGAAACTTTATTTCGAAACTGCATGTAGGAGGGTTGCCACCTGATTTTATAACTAAATTCAATTTTAATTAGGAGTATTAGATAATTTAAACATGTATCACAATACAAGTGTCAGACGAACAAGGTTTAACCAGGTTTGTGTTTAAAAATATTTTGAACAGGATTGCCATCTGTTTGAAAAGTCGAATTAAGTTAAATTATATGAAAAATTGAAATATGGGCGTCAAACAAAGGAGTATTAAGAAATATTTAGTTTGAGCATTTATAACATTGAAGAGGGTTTCCACCTGTGTAAAAAGTTAAACTCAAATTATTTAATAAAACAAATGAATTATTAAAGTATGGATAAAAATTGACATGGGTTAAAAATATTTTCTTCTGCACTTTATTTAGAAATTAAACTCAACTTGAATTAAGGAAATTATATGCATAATTCAAATTTGTATCGCAATATGTGTGTAAGTCGAAAAGGGGTTGACAAGGATTTGGTTTTAAAATATTTTGAATAGAGTTGTCATATGTTTTAAAATTATAATTGAATTAAAATATGCATAAGTTAAATGAAATATTAAAAAATGACGTGAAACAAAGGTGGTAAGATATCCTAAGTTTGAATATTTAGAATGTTAAAGAGGGTTACCACCTGTTTAAAACGGTGAACTCTAATTATTCATTAAGTTAAAACAATTATTAAAAATATGGATATCAAATGAAATGGGTTAAAAAATGCTTTATTTATGAACTGTGTTTAGGGGCGTTGACACAATATCAGACGCACGAGATTTTTTTATTTCTTAACTATATTTAGGAGGGTTGCCAGCTGTTTCAGAAGTCTTAGCTAACTTATGAACAAATTCGGACTCTGACAAAACCAGCAAGAAAAGTTATATTAAGTTTAGGAGTCATTGACCAAAATGCTTTAAAATTTTAAACTGCTATATAAACATAGGAATTTATTTAATTCAATGCATATTTTGCCAATCATAAAGGTTATCTTAATAACCTTAGTCTTTTTCTACATCCCTTTAAACACCCTGTCTAACATTTTGACAGGTTATTTCTACGTTCCTACAGGATATTTCTATGTATTTTCTAGGTGGTTTCCAGGCAGAAGAAGAGCATTTGTCACTTGTATGTATGCACAGTGGTAGCTGCCAGGTTTGATCCTCGTTTGGAGCGATTGCCAAAACATTTTTTGGTTTTAATATATATTTTATTTTTATACCCGAGCGCACTTGCCCACAACGAATCGAGATAGATATAGACAACTGTATACATAAATGATCAGAATGAAAAAAGAAACTGATTAAGCGGTGACTGTCTTTCCGTCCGTCTGTCCGTCTGTGCACACGATAGCTCGAGTAAAAATTGAGATATCTTAACGAAACTTGGTATGTGTACTTCTTTTCAGCGTAGGACGGATGGTATTGAAAGTGGGCAATATCGGATAATAACCACGCCTACCTCCCATATAACATGAAAACTGTTATATTTTAGTAACTACTGTTCACTAAAAATTTGTATTTATAATAATTTTGAGACGAAAAAGATAATATTAGGGGGGTATATGCAACACTTTCGTATTCGGATTTTGCTACGAATCATAGAAATGGTATGCTGCAATCCGAATCGTATCTTCGCACTTTTGAAATTCGTAACAATGGCATGCCCAAAACCAAACGAGTCAAAAAGATGTAAATCGATGTGTTTGCAGGAAATATTAGGGGTGTTCTTTTTAACAAATAAATTAGCGTTTCGCATATACGTATATTTTTATCCACTGCTTTATATTTATTTATTTATTTGAACAAAAGTGGTGCTACAAATAAGATAAGAATCTTTTTAAAGCCCATCAAATTCATTTGGTATGAACGAACAAAAAATAATGTTTGTTGCCCCTTATCGAGAAACTTGGGTACGGTTTAGTTATTTGAACAATGATTTTTGGTTGTTGTATTCAAACGCACCACCCGAATCTAAAAACTTTAACATACACGTGTAGTCAAAGGATTAAACTTTAATTTAAATCAAAGGTTCCGAGTTCTGGTTTATTAATAAATTCGGTTTTAAACATTTTTTGTAAATTTCGATGTGGGTTCTGCGCAAAGATACAGTGGATGGCGTAGCCGGAGTTACATACATGCACAATAAATGTTGTATACCTTTCACAGTAGAAGAGGGGTTTCCGCACCTGAGAGTTCTCATTAGTAAGGCATGTAATCCCTAAGCGTGTCCGAATGAAGAAGCAAGCGCAACCGGGTGGTGGACCTTACAAAATGCATATTTTCAATGGCTGGGAAAAAGCTGTTATTGCATTAACTGGATTGAGAACCAGTTCTTCAGGAATAGGCGGAGTTATAGCTTGTGGCTCAACAATTCAACCAGAAGCTGACATAGATGTGTCCATGGTTACTATGCCCGACAGCACCACATACCTTTGTCAATCCATTGCTCAGAATGAAGAGAAGTCGATTAAGCCATGTCTGTCTGTCCGTCCGTATGTTCGTCTGTCCGTCCGTCCGTGTACACGATAACTCGAGCAAAAATTGAGATATCAACGAAATTTGGTATGTAGGTTTCCATTTATTCAAGGTATGTTGGTATTGAAAATGGGCGAAATCGGAATATAACCACGCCCACTTCCCATATAACGGTAATTTAGAGAAATACAAAATCTTCAATAAATCATTAAATATTAAATTCAACAATTTCTATGAGCTTGAGGCCGTTTTTAGTGAAAACTTATTGTGGAAAAGCAACAATAATTTGAAAAAATGGTAGAAGTGATAGCTATTTCGGAAATCACCACAAGGCCATAAAATAACAAAAAGAAATTAAATATTAAAGCTAATTTATTCAAAATTGATGCTTGCCAATTCTCTACCAAGAAATACGTTTGTGATAAAATTTTGGAAAATGGACTTGGCACCGCCCACTTATGATACCATATATGTATCTCGGTAACCGTTCTACCGATTTGTACCAAGCTCGGTATGGTTATTGTGCTTGCCACATAAAAGCAAAACGTTGAAAATTATTGAAATCGGACTAAAATTACGGCCGCTTTTCATATAACGGTAAATTTCAGAAATGCTTGAAACTTCAATATTTCGCAATTTAAGGACGCTAATTTATTCAAAATTGATACACCCCGGCTTGCCATGTAGCGGTAGCTTTCGGAAAGGTGCAAAACATATATTTAATACTTGCGCCGGGTATTTAATGTTTGGCTCCGCCCGAACTTAGACTTTCTTACTTGTTTTTTTTTTTTTTTTAGTGGTGGTTAGTGCTCTTGACGCACTGCTGCACTTACCGTCACCTTGTGTCTTCATACGTGGGGAAGACTTAAAAGCCACCTGCAGACTAAAAAGAACCGGATGTTGGTATAACACTGAGTGGCGGAAATTGGTGGCGCCAGAGATTTAAGCACTTGTGTATTCTCAATGCTACAGGATAGTTCGCCACCATTACCCTTGTTGAAGAGATTCTATAATGTTGAGTTCCCTGAGACTGAATGCTTGTTTAATTCCATCACTGAGACCGGACTAACACATTGTCGAATCTTCACTGATGGCTCCAAAACTGACTCTGGGTCATGATCTGGGGTCTTTTTCGAA